CGCGAAAACCTAAGAACTGGATAACAACATTGAATATTATAACTACTTTAAAATGCCGTGACCATGGGACCTGTAAAGGGCCCGAAACGTAGGTTTGTTTGAAAAAACAAATTTATGCGATTTAAATCCGGAAAAATAGTTTCATTTCCTATGTGTAGCAATCACGGTAACCTAAGAACTCGTTACATTTATTTGTCAAGTTTTTTATTGAAATCGAAAGTGCGCGAAACCGGTTTCATCCCCTAGTTTGCCACCCTTGGAGGTGGAATATTTTCTTAAAATTTATATGAGACCAATACTAAGGTACTCTCTTTCCAAGAAAAAATAATCAACCGTGACCATGGGAACCGTAAAGGGCCCGAAACGTTGTTTTGTTTAAAAAAACAAATATACGTGATTTAAATCCGGAAAAATAGTTTCCTTTCCTAAAAAAAGAATCACCAAAATTGGTTCATAAATGAGTAATGGTTTAATATACACAGGTCAAATTAAAGACCTCTCCTTTTTTGAAGTCGGTTAGAAATAGTTTCATTTCACTTGTTATAACTACTTGTTTTAAGATCGTGGTGGTTCTTTAATGGGAAGGCTAAGGTTAAGCAATGTAAGCCTTTGATAAACCACCTTTTGTGAAATGTAGTTTTATATACAAAATACTATGTAGGTACCTATACATAACTTCGTTAAGGAAGAAGAAGTCCATAATATTAATCTTAGAACGAAATCCAAACTCATGGTACCACGATTATTATCGTTTAACTAGGTAAACGATTCTTTTATAGGGAACTGAATACGTTTTTACAATAAGATTCCGGAGCATATACTAAGATTATAATTTCCTTATGTTTCAAACTTAGGTATATTAAAAGTGAATTGAAAATTCGAATTACAAAGCTCAAGTCAGGACTTGAGCAGACTTGAGTATGATTTCAAGCACTGGAAATACGACCCTAATGGCAAGGACTTGAGTATGATTTTCAGTGCTCACTGCAATTCTCAAGTCCTGACTTGAGCATTGAGTATAGTTCTAGAATACGACCCTTAGTGTTAGATAAAGATGTATGGAAAGACGACATGGCTCCAGATTCAACACAAATTAGATTCAAAGTGTATTCCATAGCATTTTAGTGTATTTGTAAAGAGCAACCCCTAGAGTTTCTTGCTTGTTCTTCTCGGGGAAGTCAGCGCAGTGAATGAGCAGTAGCTTAAAAAATACGTTTTCAAGTGTAGATTTATTTTACGTATGGAATAAATAATTGTTTCACTTTAAATTTGTAAATCTATTATATCTTCGCAGAAGGTGTTATGGAGAAAAAGCGAGACTAATTAATAGTATCAATTCAATTTCCATACTAAATCTTCTCAGTGTCATAAACGAGCTCAACGTAAAGGGGAAAAAACCAATTTCGCCAAGTTCTTGCAAGTTTTTCAGCAAACACGGGGTGAGCGGTTGATTGCGAGTGAAGTGTCACTCACTCGAAGCCCATTACAGCCCTCGGTGAGAACAGACGCACTTTCTTTTGTTTTACTGGCTTTAATCATAATATTGTAGACGAGCACCTCGACTCGTTTCATCTTGTTCAGCAATAATTTGGCTAATGACAGTCATGTACCCTATTTATATGAAAATAGAATTAAAAATGCTACGCTAAACTACAGGATACGTGGATAAATAATGTTATTTTTTAATAATTATAAAATAAATCGTGCTCGCCTCAAAAGCCGTAAACATAGATGGGCAAGCACCCGGGTTTAAACCGGGTTAAAACTCAATAATGTTCAAAATCGAGTGCAAGAAGTATTTGCAAATAAATATTTGTTGTAAATTGGTGTTTGTTAAATATAATTGGTGTTAAATGTAATGATAATAGCATTATTACAAAATGTTTATTGCTCTCTGAGCCAGACGATTCGATATGACTTTCTATTCAATCGATTTGCATGAAAATCACATTGAAATAAATCGATACAAAAAATCGTTACATCGTATGCACTTGAATCGATTTTCATAAAAATCGGATCGTAATAGGCATGCTTAGTAGTTAGAATTCACAGGATTGCAAGGTAGCTATTGTTGTGTAGAGTTAACTTGTTTCGTCAAAAAAGATTATTTACATCGAAATTTGTAATAAATACGGAATTTGGTATAAATTCCGTATTCGCCGTTTCCGCTCACAATTTTGGGCAGAAATGGGTCTGGGCAAAACCCCTGTTAAAACCTGGGCGGGTTGATTGCGTTTCAACCCACTCTGGCCGTAACAGTTTCCAGTGCACCACAAAGGATACGTACGTGTGACCATCGGACTGTCACTAGGTGTGCACTGTGGAAATAGAAAAATCTCTGGTTTTATCATCCCTCGAACGCAACTATCAACAGGTTACGGTCTGCAGTAGCCCGTGTCGTTGAATTTTTTTCATATTATGTAGGCAGCAAACAAGCATACGGCCCGCCTGATGGAAAGCGGTCACCGTCGCCTATGAACGCCTGCAACACCAGCGGCGTAACGAGCGCGTTGCCAATCCTTTAGGACCCTTCTCAAACCCCTTTTGAAGGACGCCACGCTGTATTCCTGCGGGAAAATCTCTTGAAATCGACTATGTACCCAGGTAGATCGCTACAGAGACAAGGTGGGGGTTCAGAAATTCATCACAATCCGTTTAACACTTGCTGTTGTACCCCTTGTGCCTTAATACCTGTACAAGGGAAGATCTCTACGCGGCCACGGGTAATGCAGTCAATGTGGCCACAAACTATTCAAAGTCAATAGAGTCCTAGTTTAAAAGAAGCGCCGACACGATAAGAAGAGAGGAAAATAATGGTTGTTTGTTTTCACAAACCTTCGAGTACACCTGCATGCTACCGTCTGGATTCTTTGACAAAATAAGCGACTAACGGGCTTATTCGAGTAATCGATACCTAACAGAACTTGTCCCGCCACAATCCCGTGCGAAATAAACAAAAGTGATGGTTGCCGAAACAAATGATTCCACTGATAAATCGTCGGACGTTAGAGAAATAACTTTGTTCATTCCCTTCTTTTGTCCGATTGATTGCACATAATTCCGACTTCCTACAGAAATACGATAGAAAATTGCCTTCGATCCGAAATAGCTATTCCATTGCTTTTGGAAATGCTGTTAATTCATCTTTCGTATAGTTGTTAACAATGTGTCACTATCAAGTGGTTATGCTTTATGGTGGAATATTAATACTGAAATAAATCCCATAGTTTAAACAATTAAAACATTCAGGCGTTACTTTCTGGAACAAAAATGGACGTAAAGTAATTCTGTGAACTCAAACCCGAGTTTGAGGACTTGGGTTCGCGTAATAGCAAATACATTTCCTTCCATTTTTGTCATCGTTCTTTTTTCGACTATTAATCTTGGTTTCTAAAACAACAAATAGTTGTGTATCAAATGAACATAAGCCTCCCATTGAGCATGCCAAGTCTCCCGGTCTTGTGCCACCTGCAGCCGTCCGTTCATCTTGCCGCCGGGCGTGGTCGCTACACATACATTATTTTATGGCATTATTTATTCATTTGCATTAGATAGCAATCTTAAGACTGGACCAATGTGGCAGACTGTAGCAGAAGAAGAAACTAATTGAGTATCAAGTGGAATCAATGGAATCAGGTCACACGACTTTTAAACTGCTATAGAGGTTATAATTATTCATATATATATATATATATGCCGTCGACATTATGTTACAATTCCATGGGCGCTGCTTCTTTTGTTCATGTGCTGTTTCCTACATATACAATGCCGTAGAACACTAATTGGTTAAAGCTAGCGCTATTTTTGCCTACTCATGTGATTCAGCTGAAAATGACGCTTGGAATAGAATTATGATATCCAGTAAGACACGTTTGAAATTGATGTTATGGTCCTATACGACAAAAATACTTGAGAATATTTTGAGGTCGTTAAGTTTTATTCAACCACGATTACTTGTTTTTGTAACGATGAGCATATGACAGATTTGAAACTCGACATTATCATTTTTAGTAGCAGTAGATCTACTTTGAAATTGTTCGTCCAGGGAATTACTGTCATCTTACCTATTTATATCACCAAGCAATAATGTGAGCATTACTGCGTTCCGGTTTTGAAGGGTAAGGTTGCTCGTGAAATTACAGGTAGACATGGGGCTTGTCAACTTAATTATGTCTCAAGGTGATGGGTGCAGTGACAGTACCGCCCAGATCCTTGCGATCTAATGCTCCGAGCAATTACAGTGCCTATGGACAGGCGTGTCTCTTGCCACCTTGCCACCGAGCGCACGGCTATTTTAATATATTATTCTACGCTCGTTATTTATTAATTTGCATTTGATGGCAATCTTAAGACTGTACCAATGTGGCAGACTGTGGCGTAATATCAGCGACACTGCTAATAATCCGCCATTTTCCTAAACTAGAGACCTCTTTTTTCTTACACCACTACTGTCTGGTAGTAAATTTTATGTAACGCCTTTTATGTTATTTACTTAATATGACAAAATACAATAATGTCAGTACAGAGTACTAAAAAAACCGACCTCAAAAGTAAGTGGAATTAGTTCGCAACTATACAGGACTTGACGTTAGAGATAAAAAAAATCGGTTCTCACTACTCAAAGTATATTGAGAGAAAAACGCCTTGAATTGGAGAAATAGCAAAATCAACCATTAAAGTAATTGCTCCTAAATTAAAGTTAGGCGCTATTTATAAAAATGAATCTTCATGCGTGAACAGCCACCCTTCGAGGTGGATGCTTTTCTTCAAAATGAAACGGGACCACTATGGAAGTACCCCCTTTCCAACAAAAAAAGAATCATGAAAATCGGTTCACAATACCGGAGTTATCGCGTAACATACATACAAAAAAAAAACAGACGAATTGAGAACCTCCTCCTTTTTGAAGTCGCTTAAAAATAAGTTGCATAATGAAAGTCAAAGTTTACTGTTTATCTATAACGTGGAAATAAACGATATAACAAAAGAAATCAATCGGGTCACAGCTCCTTTCCTATTAGTTGAGTAGCTAAGGGTAAGTCGAGTCAATACTTTTCAATTAGATTCGTGTCACTAAAATGCAATGTGTACCAAGAATCCTAAAATATAATATTGATCACAAAACACCATACAATTAAAAAGCTAATAAAAACTTACTAACAACGTAACAGAGCAGCTATTTGAATAAATATGACTTGCTATACACAAAAGGGCAATATTTCTTGGCAATCACACCTAACAGTGAATTGTTTGGAAATCGTCGTTCGAACACCTTATCAACGACGCGGTAGGCGAACGCTGGTGGGATCTTCGTCGCTTTGTCAGTATATTCCACGTTAACAATCTCTTTATCCAGCAATACAATGTCTTGACAATCACCGTCTCCTAAACATAAGTTATACTGATCTGTTAAAAATGATGACAAAGAATAATTTTGATATTTATCTTCTAACAACATCATGCCGTCTTCAATAAGGATAACTTTATCGGTTTTAAAAGAAAGCATTGCCGAGCTTAAGCTCCTGCTTTTTTCTTGCACTAGCCAATGCTTAGGAATGTCAGGAATCTCTGTTACAATAACATTAGTGTCGACTACAATTCCCCCGTTACGGTACAACGTAGTAAGTTTTAATGCTTCTTCTAAACGTTTGTGCTTTTTAAGCAGTCTGCTGTTCAAAAAACCACCGACAGTCTTTATGAAGGGAGTTTCATTAAAGTAATTTGTCACCGAGATTCTTACAAATTTAACGGATTTCATGTATTCTAGGAAGATGTTCAGAAGTTTTTTTTGTAGGATGCTGAACTGCAGAGGTTTGCAAAAAAGCACGTACACTTTGTCGGATGGATACGCACGGCTCGCAGCTTCTATGGCACACAAGTGCGCGAGTTTAATGGTATACCTACACGAAGTCCAATGAAAGTACACGTCGGTTGATTTGAATTTGTCAATGTAATGTAGCCAATAATCATCTTCTATATCTTCTTCGTAGTAACAAGAAATATCGTCAGGGAAATATTGTTCCAATGCAAACTTGAAACCACCGCTGTCCATGTTTCCAGTGTGATATTTAATAACAAGACATGCCATTAAAAAGCCTATGAAAATGGCTGTGATCACTAAGCTTCGCTGCTTCAGGAGCCTTTTGTGGACACGCATTTCGTTGAACGAAATCGTCATTTACCGCTATTGTTAAATCAGAAATATAATGCTAGGTGGAAAGATCGCACGATTCAGTCACTGGTCAAAAATAATATTGTGTTCTTTACTTGTTTACTGAAGTATCACTTTCTGTAGGTTGCAACGTGCTCGATTATGATTAATATTATTCAAATTTCTGTGACAAAGGTTACAATTGTATACAGAAATAAAAAAATGAAAATAAATGTATTATTGCTATTCCTTTATGGCTGCCACTAGCCTTGTGCCAGTGTCAGTTTTTTATGATTAAACGTAACAATTCTGACAATGTCACTTTTTAATTCTTACTTTTTTTAAATAAATTTTGACCAATCTGTTTAAACTGGGTGTAAGGAGAAATGTTATAAAACAAGAGGATGGAAATAAAAACATGAAGTTGTTTTTTTCATTCTTCTTTAAAGAAAAGGCAAAGGTTTGGAACTTGTGTCTTACGGTGACGGGCGCAATGGCAGTGCCCCTCAGGTCTTTGAGACTTAAAGGCTCTGAGTGGCATTGCACCTGTTATGGACAGGCGTATAGCTCACCATCAGGTGCACGACTTGTTCGTCCCGTCACTAAATATTATTACAAAAAATACAGCAAGTATGGTATGCAGCAGGTATGGTCGCATCATCTAGTATATAACCAGAAATAGAGACGAAATAAGGGCCATGTATTCCTGGTAACTCATCAGTGATGCATTAATTATAAATATCAACTCTCGTTTGCGCTGTAATATATGTAGAAGCGCCAACAACTGACCTGTGTGTACGTCTCCGTGTAATCTAAAAATATTCTGTATTTATTGTTTAAAGATAAAATCTGTAACAATCGCGTGCTGTTTTATTCGGTGGTGTGGGAAAAACTGCAAAACATCTAATTACAAAACAAACGGAATCAAATTTCATCGGCAATTAAATACTAAATATGTAATTTTGCAATTTTCTTCCATTATAGCAAAGCTCAAGTTAACTTAGAAACAATACGACACCCATTGACGGTGCCCGTCAATTGTTTCGAATTCGGGCTGGCCATCGGACCGCAGTTGTAACAGTAATGTGATATGGCAGAATAGTTTTCAAACAAATTAAATGATATTTGGTCTCTACTTCTGGTTATATACTCGATGGGTCGCATTCATATTTTGATGCCCAGCTGGGTATATGTGTAAATAAACTTAACAAAAACATTATTAACTTCTAATCAAAGTTAGATCACTTTCTGGGAAAAAAGCCTTTTGGGCTTATTTGGTGGAATCTTCAAAAACTTAACACAAGCTTCAGGCTGGTAAATAGCATCAACCCTACTCAGCCATTGCTTATGAGTTAGACAGACATTCAGACGATCCATTTGCTTAACTGCGAGGATTTCGTGGGAAAACAACAGCCAGTAAACTTTAGATTTATGACGCAATGAAACCGAATTAATTTGGATACCCCTGGCATTCGTACTACCCTAGTACTTTGCTAGATCGATTGCTTTGACAGTAGACATTGTTAAATGCTCTAACTTTCGGCCTCAGCTGTTTCTTTGATTTTTTAGAATGATGAATGGTGAGAAATTTATCAATAATTGGTCACGATGATCCTTAACTTTTTAGATTTCTCACAGACGTCTCTACGGTAAAATATCCGGTAAAAATAAAAACAAACATCTGTAACAAACGCATTAAAAAATACTTAAGGTCTGCTGTCTTGATCTATAGCTCAGTTAATAGAGCGGTCGCAGTGGTTTGGCACATACATACATTTGGAGGTAAGAGTCCTGCCAGATCGAAGGAATTTTAGTTGGTGTTCGATCTTTGTATTAATAATTATAGCAACTAGTGGAGTAATGTCACAAAAATATTATTAGAATTAATATTACATTATTATAATTGTAACTAAGAAATACAAAAGTTTGTTGATACTATCCCGAATTCAGCGGCCATTTTGATTTTCATCCAATTTTCTTGAGTTCCAGATACAATAAGATTTCATTGCACAATTTCGAAACTATTCGTTGGTGCATTCAATTAGGTCATGCAGGTATAGTATGAGCAGACACGTTCTGTCAATAATGCTTAAGTTTCCAATGCAACAAGCATAAGAAGACCATTAATCATATATTCAGAGCTCCAGTGGAGTCCAACCAAACCGAAACTTAAGCAATTGAATCTGAAGTGCAGTTTAAAGTAACCGACGTAGATTAATCGCCGGACAATTTAATAAAATATAATCATTTCATAAGATATTCGTATCACGTGAAAAGTTAACACCATATCTTGAACGAGAACATCATATTACCTAATAATATTATCTTCTTAACTAAACAATAATTGATATTCATGGTACTAAAATATCATGATATTTAATAAACGTAATATTACAATTATTAATAAATAAGTGACATCTCTAGTCAGCCGCTGGTAGCTGTATAGATACCTGGCTGAGTGAAGAAAAACTTTCCTAGATTTGTCACAGATGACGCTACCATATATTCATAACATATATTTAGTATTGGATTCGGAAGATGTCATACAAATTCACCAACGATTTCTTAATGACAGTGGACTATTTCATGTTCTAAGACAAGGGTGGGCAAACATTTTTCATTAAGGGCCAGAAACGCAAAAAAATTCTCACGGGGGGCCAGAATTTAAAAGATAATTAATTTTATCGAGTTCTTAGGTTTTTAGAAATTAATTTTGTTATGAAATATTGTTAATTATATATTCCTGACGAAGCCTACGTTGCAGATTGACATAATTATGTGATTGATTTAGTTTTGAAATGAATTGAATTTTAACATTTAATGGAAGAAATAATATTTTTTTGTCAAGTTGAAGTACAAGCAAAAATAAAAGTACAAGCAAGAGTAGAAATTATTTATTATTGTGTTGGGTTGTTTCTGTGTATGATAACGTATGTAGGTTATTTTGTGTGCATTGCGTGAAGTATTTCTGAGGGCGTTACACTCCTATTTACAAGAGACGTTGCTTGGCGGGCCGGATTAAAACCCTTCGCGGGCCCGTGTTGGCCCGCGGGCCGTACATTGCCCAACACTATTCCAGGAGTTGCATTAAACTTATCTGTTTAAGACACATTAGCAGCTTTTAATCATATCCACGTCGTTTTTTCGAGTTCACAGTAAGCTTAATCTGGTTTTATGTCGTAATAAGTAAATGGAAAGGTTAAATAGGAAAGTAAAAAACACTTACACAGCAAATGTTTTAACACAGAATTACCTATAAATTCTTTTTTACATTATTGGCTGTCTTTTTTATTTTTTGGACAGATATTGTGGGATTTTTTAAATTTTACAAACTGAACACAATCATGTAAATAATTAAATAGTTTGCTCGTATATTATGGAGATTTCGAAGTCCATATTTTAGCAAAATGGATGCGTGAGAACGCCTATATTTCGTAACTTAGTATATTTGTGATTTACGTACCTTTAAAATTATCTGTTAAGCATGTGTAATTAGTGGTGTGAGCTTTCGTTCAACACGCATTAAGTGCCGTTACAAATGAGCGCATGAGCGAGCAATTTTGACTTTGCAAAAATATTGTATACGACCATTGTTTTTTTTTTTGCTTTTATATTCGAATGGGTGCTCCATAAAGTCATATAAATTATACAAACGGAACAAATTCAGCTAACGACACGTGAGAGATAAGACGTCCTATTGCCATTTTCTAGAGCCTCACATCCGTCATCCATTTATTTCTTGTTCACTGGATGGATTTTTCTATGAAACCGGTATTAAGGAATAAAAGAAACAAGCGAGAAGAGAGCATTAAAGGATCAGTGTGGAATCCGAGATATATTTCTCGGAAGGTCTCAGGATTTCTAAACCTACTATTAAGTTAAGAGACCATTAGGTTCGGGTGACGACAATTCTTGTCCGCGTAGGGATTCTGTTATAATTTCTTTTTGATACCGGATAAAATCCTTATTCGGGAAGTTAAATTACGTGTGGCAGAGGCGAGAAGGCGTATCGCGATTGGTATCGAGCGACGAATAAATCGCGCGCCGTCTCCGCGGCCATATTGGATTGCCGAGAAAGTATTCTCTTAAGTTTCATTAACCGATTGCCTGATACGGGACAGATTCGGGATAGAAATAAATCTCTATTGGGGACTCCATTTACTAGGAAAAGTAACTTTTAAGTTAAGGGTAAAAGTCTTCACACCAATCCCTTTTGAGTTTGTTACCTTCGCAAACTACGTGTCTTACTCGATTTATTTGTTATCGATTAATTTGAAGAATTTCAAATAATAAGTTTCAAAAAGGAACGTCATATTTTTGCTAATTAAAATAATAGGGGTTAAAGTATGAAATTGCCGATTTGTACTGAAAATCTAAATTGTTTATTTTTTAAATTTTTAACAAATTTATTTAATCAAAATAGTTGCCATTATTATCTATACATTGCTGCCATCTAATGGGAAGGTTATTAATGCCTTTGCGATAGAACTCCGACGATCTAGACTGCACAAACTGTGTGAAAGCATTTTGTACTGCCTCCTGGGAAGAAAACTTCTTGTCACGTAGATAATTGTCCAAATCACGAAAAAAATGGTAGTCCATTGGAGCAAGGTCTGGTGAATACGGAGGATGACGAATGGTTTCTAACTGCAGTTCCTGAAGGGTCAAAATGGTTTCTCGTGCTGTGTGAGGTCTCGCGTTGTCGTGGAGCAATAATGGTGAAGATCGATTCATGAGTCGGGGCTGTTTTACTGCTAGTTTTGTCAACATGGTTCGGAGTTCGGCACAATAGACATCTGCCGTTATTGCTTGACCAGATCGGAGAAAAATATAGTGAATAACACCATGCTGAGACCACCAAACAGTTACCATTACCTTTTTATTGGTAAGTTTTGCTTTAGGACACTGTTGTGGCATTTGACCTGGGGTCAGCCATTGCATTTTTCTTTTCCGGTTATCATAAAGAATCCACTTTTCATCACATGTTACAATTCGATCCAATATTCCTTCATTTCTGTACCGGTTCAACAAGGCAACACAAGTTTCAACACGCGTTTCTTTCTGCAGATCAGTCAAATCATGAGGCACC